GGTTTGTAATGAATTGGTGTGTTATGTGTTAAAGTCTATTGTTTATGAGTTTAAATAGTAAAGTGAAGAATATTTGCATTTCCTTAACGCAAGCCTTTAGTGTTTTTACAACAGGTCAAATGCTGTACAGCCGGCAAGAATGAAACCATTGCATGCTATCACTCCTGGAGATTATTTAATATGAGCCTTTGCAGGAAAAGCGCTTGTTACATATCACGTAAAAGGGGCCCCGCAAACCTCTGCTATTCAAATCGTGGATCCACGTTTCCCTTTGCATACTGACTAATCCTAAAAGTGATTCTTTCACAAAAAAAAAAAAAAGTATAAATGGACAAGAAGATGGTTCTCCCTTATAAAGGGGTACTATTAGGGGAGTATTGTCCAGCTCAGAGTTAACTCTACTTTTAAAGTGCATTGCATTATTTGAGTCAAAGAAAAAAAAATTATGTTATCCATATTGATTGTTAAAAAAAAAAAATATATAATTTTTTAAAAAAAATTATGGATGTATAGGATAGTTTTTTTTACCAAAGTAAGATTCATCTAGTATGCGTCATTGATCATATGGTCATGATGAAATGGTATTTTTAATAGAGATCAGATAATTTCTGACATTTATAATTGAGGCAATTCTAATCTACTGTATTATATTTATATTGGTAAATTGAAAGCTTTTTGCAGACCCAGAAGAGGATATATAAATAATATAATAATTTCACAAAGAGCCGAATTAGGGAAGAGTCCACCCAATGTACTTGCTAATGGGTTAAACTTGTTTTTTTGATAAGCATATAAAATTTAGCTTTTGTGGTTTGAGACTTTTGATACTCAGTTTGAACTACGTCCCAACCATATCCTTGCAGGTACAAGAAGAAATATGCTTTTTAACATATGCAACATCTTCATGTTTTTACAAAACTTTCATTCATACGGACAGTGGAAAAGTAACCGCATGTCTGCACTATGCCCATGACCCAGACTGTCAATATTGCAAACCCTATATGAAGGCTATGCTTTAGCTGTTGATGTATATACCCCTAAACAACCGTGCCTTATATGTACAATTTAACTATACATAAAACCTTCAAATGCTTATTATTACTAAATCTGTGTGGTACACAAGGAGGGTGTGTGGTTAGGTAATCTCACCCTAGCACTGTTCATTATAGGGAACAAAGACCATAAATTAGGATTTTGTAGTAAGAAATTGATACTTTTTGAGAATTCTGAATTAGATGTACGGCTACCATCAAATCTCTCAGGCATAACAACAAATGGCTCAGAATAAGCAGGTTCCGGGGCTGGGAGTACTGTTCCTTTAAGAAATTTTACTTCTCGCTGCAGCTCCCAAACAGTCTGGGCCAGGCTGGACACTTGTTGGGTAAGCAGCTTGCACATCTCTGTGGACTCTATGGAGGGTCAGTTCGTTATGTCACGGCTTACCTTGGTTAGAGTCCGAAGTGCAGAGATGTATGCTCACCCTTGCAGATAAATACAGCCCGTGCTAACCAGGTAAGAAGCTACCTGGGCTGTGAACCTGTGCATGTGGGCTAGACAGGAATAATAAGCGTGTACGAGGTAACAAGGGGAAAGAAGATGAAGAGGATTAAGAAGCTCCTGACGAAGTCTGAAGGACAAACGCGTTGAGCCACATTGGGACCCTCCAGTTTTGGTATTAGCAGTTTCTGCTCTACATGTTTGCTGCTTATGAGATTGTGTGTGGGCATTATTAGTGTGTATCATTCTTGTAGTGATGAGAGTTGCACTCTCTCACTTTATTGCACTGTCTGCACTTTAGCATTTGCACTTTTTCATGTTATTTAGAGCTGCTGTACCTATGGGTCTTTTAGCCTATTAAGGCTTTTTATGTATATATATTTTTTTTAATTATTGGCATATTGTTGGTGCATTTTATATATTATTAAGTTTCTTCAATAAACTGTATTATACATATCCTTTCTTTACCCCCATTTATTCATCTGGTGAATATGGCGCCCTGTATTTTCTTGGTTTTATATAGCAGACAAAGGCAAATCCAGAAGAGTAGTCAGACACAGTATCAAAAAGGTCAGGGCAGGCAGCAAACAGGCAATAACGTAGATTCCACAAGCAGAGATCACAAGCCAAGTCAGTCTTAGGCAACAGGAAACAAGAAACAACAAACTGACACAGCCCTTAGGACAGGGGTTCTCAACGTTAGTCCTCAGGACCCCCTACCAGTCCAGGGTTTAGGGATTACCTGGGTGTGTCTAAGGTCTTTAGAAAAAAAAAAAACACCTTAGACTCTAAGGTGTTTTTTTCCCTTTTTCTAAAACACCTGAGACACACCCAGGTAATCCCCAAATCCTGGACTGGTAGGGGGTCCTGAGGACTGGTTTGAGAACCCCTGCCTTAGGAGAAGCAGTGTTATATACCTGGGATGATGATCCATCTGCATCAGGTGGACGTAGATTGGCAGGTGGGAGCCACTGGTGAAGTCTAGCCCCCTAGTGTTGCAGGCAATGCCGGATAAACAAGGCTAGGTCCACAAGTACTGAAGCGGCTCGGAGGCAGGAATGCAGGCTTAGGATGCAGAAGGCCTCAGGTTCAAATCCCTTTTCTGGTCCCTGTTGAGTGACCATGCATGGCTGTCTGGATTGCATGGTGAGAGCAGTGACAGTAGCCTTGCATAAAAGCTTACAGTAGGAATCTAATGTAGAAAACCAGACTATTTCTAAATGTTGTCTTGCATTCTGTAATGCTGATTACCTGCTTCTGGAGCTTGTTACCTTAATAAATATCACCATATAATAATCTACCTATAGCAGATGTTGAATCTCAATACATCTGTAGCTATGGTATTGTAAATCCCTCAGTGTTTAGTAAGGAAGATTACATGGCAAATATCTTATTCATAAATACTTTGTGGGAGGCATCTACTTGAAATGTTTTCTTTATATACTTTGTTTGAAACCAACCATGATATATATATAGTATAAATATTGTTTTATTTGTTGTTAATTTTGTTTTGTTAGTACAGCAGAAATATTTGTTAGGGTGCTCAGAATTATAATCCCATTGCCCACCATACTCTACCATATTTATTTAACCCCTTAGCGACCGAGGACGGTTCAGGACCGTCATCAGCATTTTTGCCTTGAGGACCGATGACGGTCCTGAACCGTCCTAACGGTCTCCGTTACTTACCTGATCGCCGTCGTTCCCCCGGCGGCGATCAGCGTGGCTCCGGTTGTGGGGAGACTGCCTGCAGCCCAGACAGTCTCCCCACACAGATTAGGACCCCTGTGGCCATGTGATCGCTTAACACAGCGATCACATGGTCACAATAGGTGTCCATGTGTCTGCCTGCAGGGGGACTGTCTGTGCTGACAGGCAGTCTCCCTGCTAGTGTAAAATCAAAAAATAAAAATAAAGTTAGTGTTAATAAAAAATAAAAAAAATTATATATGTGTATATATGATATATAGACATATATTATATGTATATAATATATGTCTATATATCATATATATATAATGCCATACTAAGTGTATTTTTATATTAATATGTACTTATATTAATATAAAAATACACTTATAATTAAATTACACACGTATATATATAATATATATAATAACTATATATATTGTATATATATATTATTATAAAATATAAATAATAAGTAATTTAAATTAAATAAAAAATTTTTAAAATAATAAAAAAATAAAAAAAAATTATATATCCATATGAAATTTTATTCTAACTGTATTTTAAAATTAATATATATATATTTATATCAAAATACACTTAGAATGAATTTGTATATATATCTATGTATATAAAAATAAATAAAAATAATAAGAAATATATACATATGTCCATATACAAAATTACATAAATAATTATATAAATATACACGTAGACTTCAAATATATAAATATGCATATATATTTAAGTTCTACGTGCGTATTTATGTAATAGTTTTACATAATTCAGTAATTTTATTGATTGCAATTTAAGGGACCTGCCTGCCAACCCAGGCCGAAATTCCAGAGAATTGAATTTGCTAGCACTGTATTTTACCCTGTAACGTTCTACGACACCCTAAAACCTGTACATGGGGGGTACTGTTTTACTCGGGAGACTTCGCTGAACACAAATATTAGTGATTCAAAACAGTAAAACATATCACAGCGATGATATTGTCAGTGAAAGTGACTTTTTTTGCATTTTTCACACACAAACAGCACTTTTACTGATGATATAATTGTTGTGATACGTTTTCCAGTTTTTAAACACTAATATTTGTGTTCAGCGATGTCTCCCGAGTAAAACAGTACCCCCCATGTACAGGTTTTATAGCATTTTTGAAAGTTACAAGGTCAAATATATGGGTCAAATATTTTACATTGAAAATGGCCAGGTTGGTTACGTTGCCTTTGAGAGCGTATGGTAGCCCAGGAATGAGAATTACCCCCATGATGGCATACCATTTGCAAAAGAAGACAACCCAAGGTATTGCAAATGGGGTATGTCCAGTCTTTTTTAGTAACCACTTGGTCACAAACACTGGCCAAAATTAGCGTTCAATTTAGTTTTTTTACTTTTTTCACACACAAACAAATATGAATGCTTACTTTGGCCAGTGTTTTCGACTAAGTGGCTACTAAAAAAGACTGGACATACCCCATATTGAATACCCTGGGTTGTCTACTTTAAAAAAAATATGTACATGTGGGGTGTTATTCAGAGATTTATGACAGATAATAGTGTTACAATGTCACTATTGATAAATTTAAAAAATTTATGTTTTGAAACCGCAATATTCTACTTGTACCTATAGCCCTATAACATGCAAAAAAAAGCAAAAAAGCATGTAAACACGGGGTATTTTTAAACTCAGGACAAAATTTTGAATCTATTTAGCAGTTTTTTTAATTCGCTTTTGTAGATGAGTAAAAGATTTTTCAAGTAAAAGTCAAAAAACATGTATTTTTTCAATTTTTCATCAGATTTTTGTATTTTTTTTAAATTAAAATACATGAGATTATATAAATAATGGTATGTAAAGAAAGCCCCTTTTGTCCTGAAAAAAACAATATATAATTTGTATGGGAACAGTAAATGAGAGAGCGGAAAATTCCAGCCAAAACACAAACACCACAAAAGTGTAAAAATATGCCTGGTCGCAAATGTACAACATCGCAAAAACAGTCCAGTCCTTAAGGGGTTAAAACAATAAAATGCTTGAGTAAAAAAAAAAAAAAAAGTGCTTTCTTTATAGAGTGAGCCATTTTATATGAAAATCTAGGACTATAGAGAAGTCCTCAGATTATAGTGTGATATTAAACAATTATAAGTACAATACACCTGTGTGCAGGTAGACAACACACTTAGTGGGTAATAAGTAAAAAAAATCACAACAATTACCCTTAATTAATAGTATTGTAGATGAAAGGACTCCTCTTTGGTCCTCAAGACAATATAGACAAAATACCAAAATAATAGAGTCAAGCATAGGGCAATAATGCTGCAAAATGTGAGCTATAAATATAAATAATCACACTCACAGGGCATATAACGATGGATAACAATGTAATAACTTCAGGACTTTAGGATCATCAGTGGCATGCATAGGAAGAAAATAGAAATAATAGTGCAGAGTATCTTAATAAAATAACACACTTTATTACAAGGCACACTTACAAGATAGAAGTGGCAAACAGACACATTAGACTCAGTTGGAAACGTATCCTATTCTCAGGGTCCAAAGGAGCAGGAAAGCCAGATGGTAAATAGTAAAATAAATAAATACATAAAAATAAAAATAAAATTTAAATACAAATACTCTATACACTAAAGAACAAGCTCTACGTGTTTCGTTCAATCATTAACTTCTTCAGGGACATCTAGCAAGGATCTGTGCATATGCAGACATGGAATATAATGCCGAACATCTCCTTTAAAATCCGTCCGGTCTTGGCGCGAAGCGATCAGCTGGATGACGCGTTTCCGGGTTCAACCTTCAATGTACTTGAGGGTACGCCCATAATATGTTCCGGAATTGCTGGCCAAACCTCACGTTGGTTTTCATCTAAATGGACGGAAGTCGACAAGCATTGCGTTCCACTTGCGTTCCATCGTTCGGAATTGAGCATATAAGTCCATAACACATAATTAAACAGAAAGAAAAAACAAATATCATACAAAAATTCTCAAAATGGGAATCAATATAAATTTATAAAATTAAAACTTGAAACAAGAAAAAGAGGAGACTTCTAATAAGGAAAGAAAAACACTGTAGTAAACAGCATATTATAAAAATATATATTAGAATAAAATTAATACACACACCAAAACAAGTACTGAAAACCAATACATCATAGAAAACAAATTAAATCAAAATCCACATTGAGTCCCCTTGGTTTCATGGTTTTTAGTGTGTGGATCCAGTAACCCTCTCTTTTCCTTAGAGCCATCATAAGGTCACCACCTCTTTCATTCAGGGTTACCTGTTCCATAACTGTACATTTAAATGTATTAAAATTGAAAAGGAGACAGTTATTGCAGTGCACTGGCACTGAATGTGTTAACATACACTTTTTAATATTGTTTCTGTGTTCTTGGAATCTGACTTTTGCTTTTCTACCCGTTCTCCCCACATACTGCATCCCACACCCACATGTGAGAAGATATACCACATAAGTGGAGGAACAGGATACCTTACTTTTAATCTTAAATTTCTCTTGGGTTTGTGTACCCAGACCCCAGACTCCTAAAGCACTTCAGTTTGCTGAAAGCTTTATGTGTAAAGAGTATGTCCAATTTTTTTAATTTTGCAAAAAAGTGCAGGTTTCAGAAATTTACACTTGTATGAATTAGCCTTGTTACATCTCTCTGGCTGTCAAGCAGACAACAGCCAGATGGATGTAACTTCCCTTTTTGGTTAGCTCAGTGGAGTTAAACTCAAGAGGCAGCAATTGTCTATACTTCTCATTGAGCTGCATTGGAATGTCTTTGATTGTCAGTCACAGAAAATCTGGGAGCTCTCCTAGCAGGTCAGAAGTGGGGCAAAACAGTGGACCAAGGTGACCGGGAACCGCAAGACGAAGTGGCCAAGTTAGAGTTCCATGTGGTTTGCGGCCAAGTCCCGCTCTTGACCTTTTGGTAGTTTGTGGAAGAATGACTGCCACGGAGAGGGTGCATTCTGCAATAACTTTCGGAAGAAGGAAAGTCACTGAACCAGGGCTAGTAACGGCTGAACATAACCACATATGTTACCATTATTTCCTTCCTATTTTGAGTTTTAATATTTTTAATTTTTTTTGTATTTCATGTTTTACATTTGTGCATTAAATTTTATGCATTCACTTTTGTACACCTTTTATTTTATTTTTGTTTTTTTCACTAATGGTGTCAGTTTTGGTGCATCTTGTTTGCTCTTTACCAAAGGCAGGACAAGGTTTAACTTTTTCTCTAATCAACTGACCATTAGGGCATGTGTTTAAAAACCTCAGCAGAATATTGAGATATTATGCCTAAGATTAAGTGCCACGATGCACTTAACTTGTTATGCTATTTTTCTGGGATATGCTTTCTTTTTTTTTTGCGCTGCTATGTCCCCTTTTTTGTCTTTTTGTTTTTAAACCATCAATAAAAGGTATAGTTTACTTAAAAATGGATTACATCTACTTTGTATAGGGTTCCCTGTGCAAAAAAATATGTTCTAGACATATTGGAGCTTTTTGATGCGAGTCTTGCTGGACTCCGGAATTAATTCTGGATTCTTTCGAGGTTTATCTACTCCAAAATATATACATGATATTTATGTTATGTATATATTTTGCAGTACTCTAGGAGGTGCATTTTTGCAATTTTTTTTAGTCTAAATAATTTTTCCTGAAATTACAAAATTCACACAAACCAAAATGCCACATAGGTGAAACCTGAAATTCCAGAACCAAGATTTCAGATTAATTGATTTACGGGAACCAAATTAGGGAACCTTGTGCTAAATGATGCAGATTTAGAACCAACTCCACACCCTGAGAGGATGAACTATTTAGGCCAAATGTTTATAGTATATAAAAAGCACATATTGTATATACACACTAGTGATACATCTACAGTACCAAGATTTCACTACTTAAGGTGGCTATATTATCCTAAAAACATGTAGATGACAATGCCATTTCCAGGATGTTAAACATTCAATACATATAATGTGTTGATAAGATTGCAAGCCAATATATTAACTAAAATATACTTAAAGGTACACTATAGTTAACAGAATAACTACAGCTTAGGGGCTAGATTTTTAATACTTTAGGGTCAGGAATACAAGTCTGTTATAGTTCATATTTTAAATATTATCTTAAATATGACAGAGGCAGGTGAGTGCAATGTGTAAAGAGCAGATGAAGTCATGACTCAGTGTATCCTATTATAAATAAAGCCATTAGTTAACTAGTATTTTACTGGTTCGATAGATTTATTCATGTATAATATAGCAACATGGTAGTTACAGTCAGTAAAGTAAAAAAAAAAAAAAGACCTATGTCCATAAAATGTAATCTTTCACTCTATTATGGTATATCCTCTTCCAAGAGGATGACTATAAATTAATAGGATAGTTTTAATTAGCAATCTCCAAATTTTGCAACGTCACTATTACAAATTAGGGCAATATATGCAATCTTCACTTTCATGTCAGCTATCAGAATACAAAAACAACTTAATAGAATTAAATCTATGGATTGCATAGAAAGCTGTATAGTACAAACTATACTTGACCTTCTCTTTTCCACTAAGCAGCACTATGTCAATGTTTCACGAAAGGTGCCCTTTATTGTAATAAAAAAGAAGATATTAAATATGTAAAAAATGAGAGCAGAGCCAAGTCGATGATCTCTGTCTTATAGAACTCTCAGATTAAGGCTAACCCTTTATCTGGCCTTATCACTATTTCATTTTCATCCAGAGGAATGACTGCAGTATGGCTGCTTAGTCATAAAATACATATTTACAGAAGAAAAAAAAACAAAGAGCATAAGATGAAGCTTAGCGTACAAAGGGTACTGGCCTGCACAGCACATTTCCTTTATAATGTCAGCTGGATGACGACCCAATCAAATCCATTGAATCCTTGTATTTGCTTTTATCCCCTTACAAACAGTTCACCAGAAAGAGGAGAACCGGCAGTTATCATCAAATCTTCAGCAGTTATTCAATATGAACTGAACTGTTGCTTCACTGGCAGCAAATGTGGATTCAATAAGCTCATGGCCTGCAGTCAGAATAAAGCCCAAATCATAGAAAAGCAGACCTTTCAGTGAACGGCTGACATAATACATTTCTCTTTGAAGATTCTACATAATATTCTGGTCACTACTCATTTCAAATGGCTTTTTTTTTCTCATTAGTTATGTAAAATATCAATATGGTATAGATCTTTTTGTTTTAAAACATCAATTTTCAGATCTTTCATATTTTAAATATTATCTTAAATATGACATAGAGGCAGGTGAGTGCAATGTGTAAAGAGCAGATGAAGTCAGTGTATCCTATTATAAATAAAGCCATTAGTTAACTAGTATTTTACTGGTTCGATTGATTTATTCATGTATAATATAGTAACATGGTAGTTACAGTCAGTAATGTCATTTAAAAAAAAAAAAAAAAGACCTACGTCCATAAAATTTAACCTTGCACTCTATTATGGTATCTCCTCTTCCAATTTAACCTTTCACTCTATTATGGTAAAAACTCAAACCAGTAACCACCCACCTATGTCCATGGACTAACGACAAGAACATTATACTATACTGCAGACAAACAACACCAGATGAAATCTAGAGTCTAAAGTCTCGTGCCCTTCTTTCACCACCCAGACTTCCCGTATCTGTCCAATCGCAGACTTCCCAATGCAGTTCACTGAGACATCATTGCAAGGCAGATGCTCTGGGCAATTGCTGCCTCTTGAATTTACCTCCACTGAGCTAAACTACCAGAAAGTAACAGGGCGATTCCAGCTTAACTACAGCAAAGGGAGAATAACAAAGTTAATTTATCAAAGTGCTGATTTCTATTGACAATTTCTATTGAAATCAGCACTTTTTGTTCAATGAAAAAAGAGGACACTCTTCACACATAAAGTACTTTAGCAAACAAGTGCTTTAAATGATTGGAGTGTTCCTTAAAATTCTTGGAAAAGTTAATTACTATTTT